TCAAGGTCTACATATATCCATGTTGTATTAATGCTTCGGTAGGTACTGAATGGCTGGGAAAGTAGGTTGGGTTGTCTTCCTGCTGAGCTCTTGTATGCGTTCCGTCCACGCTACCATATCAACACGGGCAAAGCAATATGTTTCTGACAGTTTCCTACGCCCTGCCCACAGTTGCGTATAGAATCGTAAAAGATCAGGTCGTTGCACGGAGTTGAAATTGGCTCAGCACGCTGCAATGTGTCGTTGCACATTATTCATGAAGAATGAGAGAGGTTTAAAATCAAACTCTGTAGAAAACATGTCCGTTTTGGATTGCGATAATATAGTGAATGCTGAAGATGTGAGTATCTGGTGCTTGATTGCCGGGTACATCTTACTTTTAACTGATTAAAATTTGTATCTCCATGTTGTGCGTGTGTGTTGCAACCTCTGTTCTACTCATTTCTTGTCAATTCTTGTTAATTTATGCTTTCAAATTTGTTGATCAGCTTAAATGTTTTGGTTCTGTGCAAGGCAACCAAAAGAAGAGTCAACTAAATATGTTTTCCGGGATTCAGAAGTGTGTAAGCTTTATCCGTCACGTTCTGCTTTCATCCTTCGCACTCCTTTGACGAGTAGAAATGACTGACAAAACAATCCCATTCAACGGTTCCTTTAATGTTGGGTTGCTAACATCGCGACCTAGATTCATGACACATTGCCCTCCATTCCCCCCCCCCCCCCTATTCAAATTAGATCACAACATCATTAAATCATGATGGGAATGGTTTGATGTTTTGTAAATCAATCTCTTTGTAAATGGGCATGGCACATTGGGAGAGGGGGGGGGGGGTTGCGGTGAGGTGAGGTTTACACTAGTAAATAATGGATTTACCTGTGGGGGGGGGGGGAAGAGTATGTTATTCTTAGAATTTATAAAAGTGAAGTAATCAGGGGCTGGGAATATAGTTACCACCGAGGTAATGAGGATTGCTTTATCAAAGGGTTTGCTAGCAAAATATGCCAATTGCCTCACTGTACACTTTGAAATTGTAGAAAGCATATTATATATTAATTTTTTATTTTTTTTAAAAACTTTACTTAGACATAGATGATACATGCACTAGATCACATTGAGAAGGCCTGAATGATTTGTCAAGGTCATTACCTGCCCTCAAAATGACTCTAAATTACTATAGCAATCACAGGCTTAGCATCGGGAATCCTAAGCCTAAGGCATCTAGAAAAGGGTTAAGATTTCGTCTTCTGTCATCCCGGCCGGGGTGATCCTGGGGAAAAACAACGAGACGAGATGCTAAAAGATGCATGTTGAGAGAGTTGAGATTGAGCAAGTCCAAATGACTCTGCAAGTGATAAGTTGCGTCCTTGACTTTTGGTTATAGTGTGAAGTCTCCCTAGTGGTAGGCAGGCTACGCTGGGCTTGTACAGTGTAAAACTAGATTCGTAGTCGTAGTCGTAATGTGAATTCAGTGCTTTTGTTGTGGGTTGGCCATTATTGAATAATGAGGAAGTGCAGTAACCAGACTCAGAAAGATGAAACAGAAGAGAGAGAGAGAGAAGGAGAGAGAGAGAGGGAGAGAGAAGGAGAGAGAGAGAATGAGAGAGAGGGAGAGATAAACAGACAAGAGTCACAGAGATAAAGAGAATGAGAATGTTTGTGTGGAAAAAGGTTTGTTTACCAGGTCACAAGCAGAAGAAAAGTGCAGGTATATTTTTTGAATACCTTTTAGTTGGCGTGTGATGTACCGATAGAGATAGAGATATTAATACGAGGAAATCTTCAATGAGATTAACGATGTTATGGCAACAGGATGTAGAACTAGGATGACAATTAGAAACAAAAACAGATAGAGTATATAAGCTCATACAATTGCAGAGCAAACTTTGTGTACTAGAATGGCTCTTTCAACACTACTAATTAATTCTTTGAAATATCTTTAGCTATCTGTAGCTATCTGTAGATACTAAGAAATACTTTTCAATTTAACATTAATAATGATGTTAGATTAGAATATGTTGTCACTTGTGTATGGTTGCGCTAAGCTGCAGCGAGAATGCCAGTGAAACCATGAATGATGACATTTTTGTTGGATGGATGTTTTCATTTTCTGTCTGAAAGAGACAAAAAGGAGGCTTACCAGTTAATTAATACATTCAATCTTGTTCCTCCTCTCAATGTAACATTTTACTTTCGATTCATGATGCATGGCCTAGCGCTTGTAGTGCATGAAGGGATATCTAGTCCCACTCACTGGTTTGCATGTCGGTGAAGTGAAACAGATTGTGCATTGAGAATGCCTTTTCTGATAGATTGGTTGTGTTTAGTCAGGATATGAGTGGGACAGCATACTTCCCTCTCAGACAGAATGGTCTGGGATCAATCCTGATAGATCACCAAACTTTCTTTCAGTCTTTTTTCCATTTCTTCCTTTCCCCCTCCTTTTTTCATGTTTTCTTTTCTCTATTTCTATGTTTTCCCTCCTTTTCTCTTTTTGTGTCTCCTCCTTCCATGTCCTCCTTATATCTCATATTTGTATACATGTAGGTCTGTTTGCTCTTTCTCATATTCATTTTTTTCTTCTGTCTCCTACATTCCTATCTCTGTTCTCTGTTTCTTTTACCTCATGTTTTCCCTCGTGTCTTTCTTTCCCCTCTCTTCTGTCTCCTTCTTACCTTCTTTTTCCTTTTCTTTTCACTATTTCCACTTTTTTATTTGTATCTTTCCCTCACATGACCATTCTTTTTCTACCTCTGTCTTATCCAGGCCCTCTTTTTTAACGGTTCTATTTAGGGTTTATTAAAGGCTGTTCATTTCTAATTTGAAGAAAGTAACAACTGCTGGTTGTAATTATCCTTGAATGTCTTCTTGATTTATAGACTTGACCCCAGTTTTGGGTATTCTTTTAATTTGTCTGTAATAATCTGTATTTAGTACTTTCACCTCAGCAATAAAGTATTCTGAATGGAAATGCTAGGTTTTATACAATTCTTCATGCAATATCTACATGCAATATTTGTTGTTTTGGGTGTTTTTTTTAATAAAAGAATCAGTAGCTGACAATGATTTGAGATCTTCAGTGGTAAGGGCTTTATAAGCACCATTTTCATTATTATCATTATTATTAAGTTTGTGGGAGAAGAAGTTGCGATGATAAACTTACTTTACGAGACTGTTGGTAAGTCACGTAGCTATCTAATCTTCTCAAAACAAACTCAAGTAGTAGTAATCATGTTATATGGGCTGCCTTGTAAGTTACATCATTTGCCTTCGCTCTATGCCATATCCATGCTAACTATAGTATCAGTTTAATGTCCAGGATTTATAGGCAGAGATGGAGCATGTATACAGAGCCAAGCAACAAACAAGGCTAGGCAAGCAAACATCATTCGCAAGGCCGGCAATAACGTGTGAGGGCAGCTATCATTTTCTTTCACGGGGCACCCCGATCACCCGGCATCGCTGCAAAATCAATTTTGCACCGGCACCCGTATATTTTCATCGCGAGCCGACATGCCAATAGGCCATTTTGGTTACGCGTTGCTTATTAGCGTAGGGATTATTAACGCTGCATCCTCCTTCTTCCTTCAGTGTTGCTGCTGTCATTGAAGTCAGAAGCGCTAGACTGGGTTTTTCTATAAATAATCAAACCGTCCGAACGAACGGTTCGATGGTAGGACTAGTTCTGCTGTAATGAAGATGAAGTGAGGTCACTTAATATCAGGGGAAATTCTTGTAACATATTGATTAAAGGACATGGGTAGTCTGAGCAATTTAACAGGTGTAATTGACCCAGTCCTCTTTAATATGTGACTTCAAATGGAGTTTACAAAGCTTCATGTATACTGTACATAAAAGCCAGGCGAATTATGGGGAGCGCCAGGAGTGTCAAGTCTGACAGATATGAGCGCTATACAAGAACCCAATATAATTATTATCAATTATTAAAAAGAGATGTGGAACTTGCACTAATTTGGTTTAGTTTTTGATATTTTCAGATGAGGGCCTGAAATGAAATGAGCTAATTACTCTCTGGTAGAAGTATGGTCCATGAACAAGAATAAAGAATTGAGAGTGAGAAAGCAAATGTAGACAGGGAGGAAGAAGAATCTGTAAGATTTACATCTGATAATTACAGTGCTCAAAACTATATGATGAATATTTAATATGATATATGTAATATAAGTAAAGTAAAGGTTTTATTAATTTTTAAAACACTAATGCACCGTACCTGTCAAATGTACGCTCTTTTATTTTTTTAAATAGCGAATTCTATTATGCTATTCTACTGTATAGAATGTTGTCCAAACCTATTAATGAATGAATTATATTATCCAGATGCTTGTAGAAGAGACCTGTAAATAATAAAGATTTAAATCTGCTTTAGAGTAACTTCTGCTCTGAAGATGGAAGCGTGAACCAATTAGTGTTCTGCTTTGATAATACATTCATGTTTTTTTTTGTTTATTTTACATTCTCTGCTGATGCATAATGCAACCAAAATTTCAGGCCTGAACAATTTTTGTGAATATTAAAATACACTTTGATTGCCTGTTTTAACGTGCCTTTAATGGCCTGCCACGTAGCCGCTACAGGCAGGGGAATTGATAGCATGATTCCTAATAGTTCCTGTTGTCATTTACGGCCAATTAAAATGTCTGACAAGTTGAGGGGACCTTCCCCTTTAGGAGCACAAGAGCGTGTCCGCAAAGAGACACTGCACGTATGCATGCACCACACGACACCTTACCACACCACCACCACTCAGACGAAGTTACCCAGTGTGATAAGGTTGATTAAAGGGAAACGTCAGAGACCGACTATAATACAGTTAGGAAGTCAAGTCTGGCGCAATAGGCAGGTATCGCGATTGACTGCACCGCCAATGGCTATGGGAGAACTCTGATCGGCCAATAAAAATCCGTCAAATGGTATTTGCCGGTAAAGGGCGAGTCACGAGGAGAGAGAGAGAGAGAGAGAGAGAGGGAATGGTTTGGTAATTGGCCGTGTGCTTGTCACGTCTATAGGAAACCCTATAATATGCCAGCGCAGACATAATCACATTTTTGTGGGTGAGGACATTCGTGTACACAATAAAATACAACTCGTCGGAGTTTGACTCTAGCCCCGAGTCTGTCTGAATGACAGTGTGTACTACTACTGTGTGTATGCGTGTGTGTGAGTGTGCGCTGGTGAGAGAGAGAGAGAGAGAGGGGTATTGCGGAAGGCTTAGTGCACAATCTGTCTGAGCGAGAGGCCAGTAGAAATAAAGGAGAGAGAGGGGGAGAGAGGATCGCTGTATATAGGAGTGTACACAGAAGGGAGACGGACGAGTACACATTTAGCAGACAGACATACATAGAGCACAGCAGGGATTGACAATCGTTCGCAGCAGGAGGAGGGTATGTACGTGTGCGGTGAAGGGGTTCAGCTCAGTAGCAGCTAGCTCGGTCGGTCTGGTCTCGCTCACTGCCTTTCTACATACATAGCTTCGTTCTTCCCCTAATGACACAACACATACGCGGCGACGGCAGACATTCTATCGGAGACTGTGATATCTATCTCTACAGTGGTGCTGCTACCTACCCTTGGTTGTCACTGCTGCCATCGCTAGTGCTAGGACTATCACAGACGGACTCTACCACCGCTGCCTTCACCAATAACCCGTGGATCGCTCTGCGACTACCTTCCACGGCCGGGCACATCCACTCATCATCATAGCCGTCTTTGCAATTGTCTCTTCCAGCCATCCCCGGCTTAACGCACAAACTATGTACGTATGTCGCGACGAGTATTGAATATCATGTTCCTGTCTGGTAGCTGCTTTTCCCTTTTTACTGGCCATCAGCCGACATAGGAGATAATGGTGCAATTTGTGTGTAGGATCGCGGTAGGATATAGTGCCTTCTGTGATAATATTTGGAAATCTGTATGATCTACATTTGCTATTCTTGGTTGAAACCTTGTGCCATGAATTCGGCTGGAAATATCTCTAGCAGACGACGGCGTATATATATGTGTGTGCAGCCTGTGTTTCAGGATTGTTATGTCGGGCCCCTCTTTTTCTTTAATTTGCTCGTTTGTTTGGTGGTGCTTCTTCACACGTGCCAGGATATTGTCTAGTTGTTGATTTAATGTCCATACTTGTGGCAGACAAGGTATGTTTCACCCTTTATGTATCAGAATCTTTTTTTCTTCTCTCATTGTAAACGATAGATCGATAGCACCAACTTTGTGCATGATGTAGGTGCCACGAAGCCATGCAAGTTGTTGATTATATGCAACCTTTACAGTACCGCGATATTGGGATTAATTCATTAATTACAAAAAAAAAGTTCAGTCGCAGTTGGGCAGCAAAATATGTAAATTACGCAGGTGGAAGCATTCAAATAGCTGCATTCATCGGGGAAAATAACATGCAGTAGGCATACTGACTTGAAGCATGAAAAACATATTCAGGTAGGAAGGTAGAGTTCCTAGTAAGCCTTGGCTTGACCTGCAGGTTAATTAGATTCAAGTTTGCTTGCTTCAGGCAATAATTCTTAGAAATATTATTAGTTCATATCCAGTCATAATCTTGTTGTTGACATGACTGTCAAGATGTTAAGGGAGACTGGGATAAAGACTAATTAGTCAAGAACCTGAGAAAGAATTAAGAGGTTGGATTATGCCAGACTAATACTGCTGAACTTTATGCTTTGATTTGTTAAAATGCACCGCGGTTGGTTGGCTGGCTTGTGTAGGTACTTGAAATCCAACCCATGATATTATTGTGTCTGGCGAGGAGCGCTCACCCCCATTAGCTCCAGCAGACTTTGTGCATCTTATCAATTAGAGCAAATATTTGGTCTCCAGTCTCTACAATGGCATAAAAGCAGATTAAAAAAAAGAAGGAAAGAAGAAGAAAAAAGCATTTTCAGTCTACTGATGAACTCAATGTCCAGACTGATCTACTTGTGATCTGCAGGCCTAAAATAGCATTAGAACAAAGTCCAGATAGTTATAGATCATTGGAACATTTTTCCCCATTCTCCTTCATTCAGCAGATATGGATTTGAAATAGAAACAAGCGCATGTATAGGGCTTTTACCCCAAAATATCAGTGGGTTGGTGTAAAAATGTAGACCTTCCTGTATGAAGGAAGTCATGTTGTTTCGCGTGTTTACAAAATGATTGATCTCAATCAGAAGCTCGTAAGAAAGTCGTAATTATAGGAGTGTCGTTTATATCGTCGCCGTTTTCACGAAGTGACGGTAGTGAAAAAAAATTGCATTCACTTTGCGTTACGATTTTCCTCACTACCGTTACTTCGTGAAAATAGGGACGATATAAGCAGGGTATTTTCAAAGTAGTGTACAACTATATTTAGATCTTTGAGTGGACCCAGTGGAACATATTATGTGCCAGACATGATATGGGCCTTTGAAACTGGGGCAGTGTAACTGATCATATTTTGTCATAAATAAATGTCGGTGTCATTCTGCAGGTCAACATTTATAATGCCAAGAAGTAAAGGGCCTATAATATATATAAATATATACATTGGATTAATATTCTCTGACATGTTTTTATGATATTCTTCATTTCACCTGCACTTTATGAAGAATAATATTATTAGTTAGTATAGATGATATAGAAACGTAAGTTATATAATAGTAGGTCGTGTCCTGTGTACTATAAAATGCCATGACATTCATGAGAAAGGACACGGTCTGCTAGCTAGCAAACTGATTAGTAGTATAAACAACATTTCTCTCTCTCTCTCTCTCTCTCTCCTCCCCCAACCCCTTTTCCTCCATCCTCTTCTCCTCTCATCTTTCTCTTTTCTTTTCCTCTCCTCCTCTCCGCTCTGCCCTTCTCTCTCCATTGATAGATAGAAAGTTATGTTTGTATCACTCTGTCTTCCTCTCTCTCTCTCTCTCTTCCTCTCTCTCTATCTTCCTCTCTCTCTCTCTCTCTCAGCTCAGACAGACTGGTATGGTATTCACTGCACTAGCGTAGCCAGACAGGGACATATTGTGACCATGAACTGTCTGTGCGTGCATACACAAAACAGTACCATCCCTCTCTCGCTCTCTCTCTCTCTCTCTCTCTCTCTCCCTCTCTTACTCAAACTCTCAGATTTTACCTCTTGTTTATTACACATTCTTAGTTGACTGGTTTTAAACCTGTTTACTTTTGTAGCTGTTAAGTCCGACACTCTCTTTTCTATCTGTTTTTCATGTTCATGTATATATATGTTTAGGCCTACAGTACATGCATCTATCTAACATAATTAGGTGTCACATTCAGTCTTCTGTGCCAATTTACCATTTTTCTAATCTTTTACTCTCCATATACATTGCATTTGCCCAATTTTCACTCTCCCCTCCTCTCTTTCTCACTCTTTCTCTCCCCTCTCTCTCTCTCTCTCTCTCTCTCTCTCTCTCTCTCCCCCCCCCCCCCCTCTCTCTCCCTCTCTCTCTCTCTTTCTGGTTTTTTCCTTCGTCTTTCTATCCTTTTCCTTCCTGTCATGTGACAAACAGAACTGAGTCGATCCATGAATGTTTCTCAATATTGTGGCTTTCATATTTATTGTTGCTTCATATTTATTATACAGTCGTTAATTGTGATATTCCATAGTAGTAGTTCATCTGAAGTTCACCGACACAGTTGAGTTTGGATGGAAGACTATCACACAGCTGCATTGATAGTGTATTATCAAATCAAATTGGGCTAAAACTCAAGTAATAATTTAGCCTTCCAATTCCCATTTTTTAGGCAAGATGATTCTCACTAAATACGGTATTAATTTTTTTTAAATAGAAATGTACACATTTTATCACAGTGACAATTTGCTTCTCTATTTCAAATTATTTTGTTTTGTTTCGATTCTTTGAACCTTATTGAATATTGTTATTGCAACATGTTAATAATGAGCAGTGCATCTCTTACTGCTAGTATTAAAGTAAGACTCATCAATCAAAGTCTGTGTGACTATATTACCTTAGGCCAAATAATGCAGAATAATTAGTAAAAAGTGTTGATTTTGACCAAATTTCCCATTAAAGAGATGTAGTTTTTTTTTCCATCAGTGAACACAAGATGTACTAGTTATCAAAATGTGCACCATGGAGGATAATAACACCTTTTTTTATAGCAACATGTGTACAGAAGGGTGACGTAACACGGTGTAAAAATGCTGGTTACTTCAGACTTCAAGTTCGGAGAAGACAAAGTCCTGCTTACGTGATTGTCTGCATCATATAGTTTTATTGTTTTTATATCAATTACAAACAATCAATAGATTTCCCATTACAGAGGTTTAGTTTTTATACTATCGGTGAACATGACATGTACTAGTAATCAATATGTGTGCACCATGGAGGTTAATAACACACTCAGAAGAATTGCCTAACCATGTGTGAAAATGCTGGTTATTTCAGACTACACGTCACAGAACACAAAGTCCCGCCTACGTGATCGTCTGCATCATATAATTGTATTGTTTTCATATCAAATCAATTACGAACAATCAATAGATGGGCCAAAAGTAGGTTGCATCGAATATAGATTTCAAAAGTTTGCCTCTGAACTGGATGTAGGTCATTGTCTGTATAAAGTACTTGAAGTTCTTGTTATCAAAGAGTGCCTGTAAACTTCAGATTATTCTGGGGTGTACGCATCTGTCTGCATGATTGGGCAAATCAAACAAGCAGAGAAAAAAGATCCCCCCCCCCCCCCCCGTGTTATTCTTTTCAAACATGTTCTTAGAAGCATTAGCGTGCAACAATAAGAGGCTCAAGTACTTCGTTATGTCAAAATATAGATACTTGATGTTCTTATTCGTGATCAACAATATGAGTTGATGCGCGGAGACTTGTTGATAGCTTGCAGACTTATTTCGAAAAATCCCTGCCAGGAAATCTGATATTTTGCACACTAACATCATAGTTGGATAGGTGGGTTAGGTCTGCCAAGTGAATTGTGCACAATGGGAGCCTGTATTGATATCATAATGTTAATCTATGTTAAATGCCTTTTGAGCTTGTCTGTGTCTCTCTCTTCCTCACTCTCTAGACCCAGACAGGCCAGGGTAGTCTTGTCCGTGCAGACTTTTTTTTTCCTTCCCCTTTCGATAATGCATCTCGTGGGTAGAAAAATGCCGTTTGAAGAAAATGTCAAACTGGTTGTATTCAAGTCAAAGACTCATAGTGGAACATTTGTGACATTATTCACCGCTCTTTGTTGGTCGAAATCGGTCGTGCTAGAGTCCTGTGCCATGGCGTAGGCAAGAGAGAATAGTGTCTGGTAAACAAGACAGTTGGAAAGTCAGACAGCTAGGGTTCTCTTCTTACTCGGTTTCGCTTCACAATGATAGTTCCGGGTTGGGATCATATTTTCTTGATTCATAGAAGATCACAGCGGGGAGTACATCATGTTCTTCTACATCCCTTTATGTCCCCTTTGGCTTATCTTTCCTTCTCTTCCCCTCTCTCTCTCTCTCTCTCTCTCTCTCTCTCTCTCTCTCTCTCTCTCTCTCTTTCTCTCTCTATCTCACACTTTCTCTCTCTCCTCTCTTTTCTTTTGTTAGCCCTGCTTAGTTCGAAGTAGAGCCTTTCAAACATCCCTCCTTTCATTCCATTTCGTTGAAACCAGTTTCAGTGACTGATATTAGTCAGAAATGTTATTCGTGAAAGCAGCATTGGTACATTTTCATGATTAGAATATCAAAAGGGTCTCTCCATGCTGTGTAGAAAGTGCATTGAAAAAACAATTTAGGGGGGGGGATTGTAAATTTTGTAATGTATGTGTTGGCCATGTTATTTATATTGTATGTTGTTGGAAGCAGAGGGAGACATATTTTCTCTTTAGTTCGGGGGAGGGTGTGGTTGGGCATTTTGAAGTTGAGGGGTATAGCCCCAAGTTTTATAGAATGATGCATGCTTTGCACTGGGCTTTGACACATGAATTTTAGCCGAACGTAAACATCAATCACGGACGGGCAGACATGTTATGTCTACGGAGGAGCATAAAGTCAATGTTTAATTATGTGAAAACGCACTCCGCAAATGTGGGCACGGGCGTTGGAAGAAATACCACCGGTTCTGCACGTAGAAGAATGAAAATAGCTTAACTGCTGCCAGCATGTTTCCAAGTGGATAGAACGTCTGAAATCTAAACCCAATAATTAGAATATGATTGATGGGTCTGTGTGCCTAACTCGTGCCTAACTGTGTGAATATTTATCAAGGGATTTTCTATGGTGGACTTTGCTTCGGAAGTAAGAACAAAATAATTGAAAAACCCTGGCCGCAAGATTCCTTTTTGAATGGCTGAAGGAAGTGGTTGTAAGCTAAGTTTCAGTTTTCACTTCTACACTCATCTCTGTGTGTTTCTCGAGTAGAAGGTGCTCGTCGTAATGGATATTTTGTCTGGCTATTTTTGTGTCTCGTGACTAAACGTACTTGATAACAATGTAAGAGGATGGCCTTCAATCAAAAAAGGTTGTTTGGGGTTTAGTTTTCAAGAGGTTTCAGGTTTAGATAGCATGTATATCTACACGAGACAAGGGAAGATTTGAGTTTTTCATTTCTTTCACTTTAAGTGCTTCTTATAAAGCACTTTGACTGTGCCCAATTATACCCAAAACTATTAAGGGTTTGAAATGAAGAGGCAATCTTATGACGATCGAGAAGTGGTGAATATAATGATATGTGAGCCATGAAATTGATGTCGCTGATTACATCCAACATGCCTAATTTGGCGACTTTGACACACAGTTTGTCGATAAAACTCACCAGCATTGACTTGCCATAGGCTGTTGTACAAGCACTTCATTGCGTCTGACTTTATGAAGTGCTGTTTGCATTCTGGCATCTGGCGATGAAAACGTGTGGATGGGACTACATGCGAGCGAGTGTGGGGAGCTGTGTTTGTGTGAGCCTTGCTCGTTCATGTGATGTTGAAGCCCAGACATGGACATACATACATGTACGAAACCACAGGGAGACCTCGACTTGATGTAATCTAAACCACATCATTCTTTAATCTCTCTCTCTCTCTCTCTTTCTTGATCTTTCTCTACCTCTCTCTTTCCCTCTCCTCTTTCCCTCTATCTTCCTTTCCCTCTCCCTTTATCTCCCTTTCCCTCCCTCTCTCTCTCTCCCTTTCCCTCCCTCTCTCTCTCTCCCTTTCCCTCCCTCTCTCTCTTTCACCATCTCTCCCTCTGTCAATTTCTATTTCTCTCTCTCTCTATATATATACATGTAACACTCTCTCCATCTTCTCTTTTTTTTCTCTCTCCCTATCTTTATCTCTCTGTATCCCCATTCTCCCCCTTTCTCCCTGCTCTCCCTCTTTCTCTCCCTCTTTCTCCCACCCCCCCCCCCCACTCTCCCCCTCTCAATCTGTCTCTGTCTCCCCCCCCCCCCCCCTCCCTCCCTCCCTCCCCTCCCTCCCTCTCTCTCCCTCTCTCTCCCCTCCCTCTCTCCCTCTCTCTCTCTCTTCAACTCTGTAGTCATGTTTCTTGAACATGACCATCTGGTCTTGGGAGAGCGTTGTCACATGCTGTTAGCTGGAATCTTTCTCTCAGAATCCAAAACTATGATTCATAGTAATGTGGCATTGTCTGCGTCTTAATCCAGTTAAATTCCATCCTCGGTAGACTTTTGCCCTAAAAAACGAGGTATCACGTTCTTCTTTCCAGCCATAGTCGACAGTCTTCATTATTTGATGCATTGGCTTCTATGTTAGTGCATCAGTCATATGAAATGTATGCTCTTATCACATTGTAATGTTGACACATTCGATTAGAGATGCACTTGGTTATGATAAAAAAAGCATCAACAGCAACAACAACAACAATAATAATATCATGTATAATATATGATGCGTAATGCAAATGTTCCTAAGCGCTGTACTATTACATATATTACCCCAGCTTTAACCAAGCTTCTATTTTTCCTACCTGTCGAATTGCAATTTCTAGATATTCTGTCTACTTAGAGCCAGAAGGGCTTTCACTTTAAATGAAATTGCAGTAGTAGTAGTAGTAGTAGTAGTAGTAGTAGATAACGTTAGTGGATAACTTGTTGAACACAAGGCTATTCTGTTGCAAGGTCCTTCAGTTTTCTCAGCAGATGAACTACATTTGTGAGCATTAATTGAATTAATTTCAGTTTCCTCTTTCCTTGAGTTAAATAAATAGCATGTGAAATGTGGCATACCTCTGAATACCGTTTTATTGTTTTACCGAAAAAAGAAGAAGAACAAAGGTTATGCTACGGTCACAAAGGTTTGAACGATAATTTCGTATGAATCTCTGTTTTTCCATTGTCTTCCTGAATATCCATTGTCTGAAAAAAGTTTGTAGCAGTTTGTAATGGCATTTGTGACTGAGGCATTGGCTGAGATATAAATGTAAAAAAACAAAAACCCTAACTATTTCTCTTTTCCTTCATTTTATCTCCTGTTCTCCAGGTGCAAGAGAAGATAGCACTAGTAGTGGTGCGTGGCACATGGAATATTTTGTCTTGGTGGTCCTTGCGCCATTGACTGTCGTGTGCTTGTGCTGTGTCATCATGTTTTACTACCGTCGCAGTAGCCGCCTAGCGTCACACTCGTCCTCCTTACCAACGTCTAGTTACTCCATCACCTCCGACAATCCTCCCGTATCGGTAAGTGTCGTGCGATCTTCTCTTCTACGCAAGAGGAACACTGTCTATACAAATATTGAATGATTCAGAATTCAGTATAACAGAATATATGCACCGTCAAGTTCAGAATTTGTACCCATGCCTTGTTATATTTCACAGAGGTTGAAATATACTGGCTTGAGGGAAACCGAGTTTGGTGGTGAATGTATGTTACATTGCACAAGACATGCATTCAAATTTTGTTATAGAAAATTAAGGGTATTTGTGACCTCGCGTCTCGTCATTTGGGGGAGTCCCCGCCCCTCTCGTTCAGTCTTATGGGTATTATGTGCGCTTTGAAGACGATGCAAACAATGGGTTACGTTCAGGGAAGAGTAAGCTCAGTTTCCCTCACTTTTATATGTGATTTACTGTGCACCCAAAAAATGTAGTTCTCATGTAACATAATGCCAATTGTTCAGTGATGGCTTCTGAGCTAACAGGATGCTGTCCAACAAATGCCCTACTTTATATAAGCATAGAAAATTAGAAATACATCAATCGCGTTAGAAATCCTTGTAATTCATGTTTACACACACACTTGTATTCTCAAAAGCCAATCTTGATGTGCGGTTAGTAAATTAGGATCCCAATACCATATGACTGGAGACTGTTTACTAGTACACCTAGTTAACAACTAAATTATTTGCAATTTAAGTATTTTGAAAATTTAAATTCCTTCTAAAATTACACATTAAAGCTTTCATCTGAAAGTACTAAACAAACGACCTAGACTAATTCAAACTATAAACATTTCATTTATGAGTTAAGAAAAATAACCCCCTCCCCCACCCCCCCCCCTCAAAAAAGACCCCCCCCCCAAAAGAATCAAATTTAAAAGGAGTACTAATGATTTAGTTGTTAACTACATATTTTAGCCAGAGCTTTCTGATGTTTTTTTATGAGACAATTTATTACAACATTCACACAAGCTTTGATAAGGAAATGGGCAGAACATACATGTAGCTACACATTATGTCTAGATCATGTGAACATGAAGAGAATGTCCTCAAATCTCGGCCTAAGGTTGCAAGAACATCTCTCCCTGCATGTGAGATCGTATTGAAAGATAGTGTCCCTCGTTCAGCTCACGCGTTGCACCCCTGCAGTTTGACCGAAGGGGAGAATGAGATCCCCCGTTAGACCAACAACAAAAAATAAACATCAAAGTCAATTTCTTTTTAAATTTTTGATATAGATGCAGGAATGGCTCCAGACCTCCAAGATATTTAATCCAAATGATGCAGTACATTTATGCTGGATTTCCTGGTGTATAAACAAAAGGAGAGATATATAATGCAAGGGGGAATATATTCAAAAGGGCAATGATTTAGAGATCTTCAAAAAATTGGTATCCTTTGAATGGTTAGTTTATTCAGCATAGTCCTGCTACCAACCACACATGCCTTGTGGGTTTGCCCTGGTGTCGAAAGCCCATGAGGCATAATCTACCGTCCGCAGACAATATCATGATCATAAAGAATTCATAGTCTCAATGATCTCTCCCTTTTTGTGTCACAAGCAGGATCCATGTTTCATCCTGATCCTTTGTGCAACGCACCCCCTCTCTCTCATTCTCTCTGGTTGGTTACCCCAGCTCCCCTGGATCCCTGGTGCTGGGGTCAAGAGGTTGGGTCAAGGGTCGGAGTGGGGTACCCTGGAACATTGTCACATTTAATCTGGGGAGAATGTCGAACTCATTAAGGATACAAGCGTTATGAAATATGGCTGGGGATGATAAGCTGGTGCTTGATAGAAAAACAGAACAAAGTGTTGTGGCACTTTCTATTCTCTCGTTCTGATAATCGTACAAGGTGTAGGAAACTGAACGATATGATGCAGGAAAAAACTAGTATGTGGCCAGTTATGATATGGTCAGGCTTGGGGAAAAAGTGGTAGGCAGTTTAGGAGAATTTATTCCATACAATTATTAATATTCGAGCAGCAAAACATTCTACTATCCTCTCTCTCTCTCTCTCTCTTCCCTTTTCCGCCGCTTCTGTTAATTTTGACTCATGTTTTCGCACACATTACAAAAGATGCAATGGTTCTATAGGCACAAGCATAATCCGTGCCCACCTTTTTCACGCCTTTGGAGAGAAAAAATGGCCAGGGGGCTTGTTTGCAATAATTCCCCATTTGACTGACGACATGATCCCTGTCATCCCACTACTAAACACAATGACACTTTTCTTTACTTCAAAAGAAATCAACTTCCAATCGTGAACGAAAGTCTTGGTAATATTCTGAGAAACTTAAATACTATGCATGAGCTGAGACGTTCATGTCTCAACTAGGGCAATTTTGTTTGGTTATAAATTGGCAATCATGGGAAGTGCCTCCCCCAACTAATTATTTGAAATCTAGACCTGATTAGGGCTTAACTCTATTCAAGATGGCCGTTTAGATTTCAGGTAGACACCTGAGATTTTTACATTTGTTCAATGAAAAATGATGTATTGCAGGACCCCCTTACCCTCTGGTATCGTTTAAAGTGCCCCCTTTCTTTCAAAGAAATGTGTGGAAGTTTTCCAAAATGTTAAAGTTTTGAAAAGATTATTTGTGAATGATACTGCTTTTCATTTTTCAAGATAGTTATGGAATGTTTGTCTTTTGTCTCACTGCAGGTAAATCAGTCACCCCTGATAAGCAGCCACAGATTCTCAGCACAGCATCAGCAGGAGAGGCTACGGAAACAACGCGAGATGGTTTGTTCCCACAGCGAGTCGACGGAGAAGTTCCCCACATCAGTATGCCTCCCAGACGAGGACGAACCACCGCACATGCGCGACAACATTAGAATACACCGGGAAGTCATGTCGGAAAACGGCATCAGAGCGCCTCCCAATCGGACTGTATATGACAGCGAGAGGCAAGATTTGATGATACAGTGTCGTAGCAAAACAGAAAACCTTCAACGGCATCCGGTGAGACGGAGTGCGTCGAACGTCTCTCAGTCCAAACGGGGCGGAGGAGGCGGGAGTAGAGGCGGGGTCGGTGGAGGAATTAAAAACGGTGCAACAACGGTGACGACGACGTTACAAGGCGGTGACTTGGAGGCGATCGACAGCGAGACGCGGAGTCCGCTGAATCTAGTTGACTCTGACGCGGAAGGGCCGCCGCCGTACGCGAGCTTGGTCCAGAAAAACAACAATATTATCAATGTGTGTGAGGATAGTACAGTCAGTACATGTAACAGCACAGATGGTCTCCTGCAATCCCAACATCAACAACCATGCACACCACCACCCTCTTGTCAACCGAACACTAATGGAAGATTTCATGCCAGTGCTAGGGGGGCGAATAGGGGCAGTGGAGTCAGACTAAAGCATGAAGGTGCCGACTGTGTCTGACATAGCTTCAAGCGCTCCTTATGGACTCGTTTAACGTTTGTCGGGTTGCGTTAGGGTGCAGAAAAATATGAATCTAGAGTATATTGGGGGCGGGCATGGGGCTTTAAAGGGAAGGGGTAGGTTTCGTCGTCGAAGCACTGTGTAACCTGTCGCCACTTGTAATGACTTGAAACGCAGTCTCAAAAGTGCAAAATGGATAACAACGTGAAAATAACCCTTTCTTGCTTGTTGAATTGTGGAGTGGATATTTTGAAAAAATACAGATCAACGCTTCGCTGCCTTTTATTCGTCTCTCATGACAGTACCTGGTTTTAACCCAAAGTGCATCTTGATCTAGTTCTTGTCATAATGGAAGAAAATTAATGCATCTGGAATGGGGACAAATCTCTTACTGTTCAAAAGCTTTGTGAAATGTGCAAGCAGTTTATGTGCTTAAACCAGCGTACAATCAGCGTTGGAAACGGAGGATGATGTTATACCCGCAACTACACACACGCTCACCGTCTTCACACCTAGTTATATGGAGTGATCCAAACTTAAAAATACGCCTCTTGATGTTATAGTATATACCCTCGGACAAAGGATCTAGACCATCACCGTCACAGGAAATAAGGAAATGTTTCTCTTCTATGGTGTCTTCAAAGACGCATCAGCATGGAATGCAACATGGGCGTGTGCTGTTCAGAGAGGTTTTTTCATCGCTTTTTATTATTGCTCGTCGTCACATCAGAGGGAGGAGTAGAGAAAGGCAACATCAGCTGTAAATCCTTAGCTCGGTTTAACCATATCCTATTCATCAAATTGGCCACAACTCTTGAGAGATTGCATCACTTTCTAGCGTTAATATCATCTGCCGCATCTTTGCAAAATAACAGATTTTGTCCTTTAAAACAAATATATGTCAACATTGTATTGCTTTTTGGATCCACAACTCCATTACTGTATTCAGTCAAACATACAAGCAGTGATTTTTTTTTTGTTCATTAATAAGAATGTCTCAAATTTTTCCCACACAAATCTGAAAATGTCACTCATACAAATCATTGCATATCCTTTATCCACACTGGCATTTAATAGCATGTAAAATTACGAAGCCTTTGAAAACTATATTAAAGAATGAAAGCTGTTCAAATACATTTTTTTTTACGGGTTTATGGATTTAAAAAAACCATGGAGGATATTTTTGGAGTTGTCTCTGTCAGAAATCTTGGGGTATTAATTATTACTTCCTGAAACTTGCAGTTCTTACAATAACGTTTAAAAAGGCAGCAAAATTTATCACTGGTAGTCAAAACCATTGCAGTTTAGGACCATTTTCAAATCATAACCTAGTCCAAAAAATGGTATTGAATCTGTTATATTCGATTTTCTCCTCAAAGAAAAATAATCTACCATCATCCACAAACTGTTAAAGGCAAAATCCACCAAGTTACATGCACCTAGAAATGGGAATAATCATTGGTTTAGAAGAAAACAAGATGCCTCATGAGTTTCCATGACAATCCCGAGAACTGTTTACTATTAAACACCTGCATAATAATATTATATTAGTTGTAAAAAATGCCAGAAGAAAGGAATTATTTTTTACTTAAACTTGCTACTTATGACCGAAAGTGAGAGAAAGATCATGTGGAATATTTGAAACTCAAGCAAGCTCTCTCAGAAAGTGCTCTGGAAAATTGATTTGAAATGTAATATGCTCTTATATTTTGGTCAGAGACCACGTGAGGAAGAAGAAGATAAAAGTCAGCAACAGAAAGCCAACTAAACTTAAGTGTGTGAATTTGTATTTTGTAGGATTCCTCTCAACAATGTTATATCTCTTTGTTTTCTTTTGCATTTATCATGCTAGATATTTTGTCTACCAAAGCCTGAAGACCCTAACTTATCTGTTCACGTTTTGTTTTTCTATTTAAAGGAGTTATTAACCCTATTGTGATTGAATCTGGTAGAGATAAGGAGATTATGTTTTTCCAAGTTTGGGTGCAACTGGAGTGAAAGAGAGATGGATGAAATGAAACGGAAGCAAGATTATCCTGACAAACGAGCAAATGATTAAAACTGAGAAAATGGCACGGCCTGGTTTACCCAAACTGAATATTTATGTGCTTGTGACAAACTGCTCAAAGCAGTATGCAGTCTCAAGTTTGAATCTTCTATTTCCATTCTATTCATTTTGCTAAAATGCCAAGAAGATGAAACAGCTTTCTTTCTATAGGCTTGTTTTTGCTAGCACCGTACTGAAGGCATGCCAGTATGGAACCCCACCCCTCCCTCTCCAAAGAAGAGAAAATAATTGAGACTGCCATCAAGTTTTACTCTTTGATTTTGTTTTAGGGTTATTTTGCTTATCTCTCTTTTATCTCTCTATCTCTCTCTTGTACTAGGAATTGGAAGATAAATAATTGGAAGAAGAAGATGGATGAATGTACCAGCCAAGAATGTATACTTAATACGTATCGGCCTAAAGAACCGATACGTCGGGAGTTTGCAAGCAGTGGGATGTATTAAACGTAGAGGGGGGAGGGGGGGGGATAGCAGGCTTGTATTGGTTCACTTCACCCTCACTCTGTGTAAGAGCAGGTAAATCTTACGAAAGGAGAAAAATTATCTTTATTTTGATCAAGACTTACATAGAGCAATCTTCCGAAAGTTCTTCAACTTTGAGAACTTTTTAGGGGCAAGTTTACATTTATTTGAAAGAAGAAGAAAAAAACTTACCCCCCAATTTTGTTGTGCCCTCATCTGTCTTCGATACTACAGCTAAGGCTGTGTAATTTGATGAGAATTCATTTGAAATAAATAAATGAATAAAGTAAGAAAAAGCACATTTGCATTATTTTAGTTTTGAAATAATTTTTTTTTTTAAAGTTGTCTGAATGAAATTTCATTTATAGAGAAATTCCAATAATTACTATTAATTCTTTTTAATTTTCAGGAGAACATTCAAATTGTTCTACCCTTCAGCAATACCCTATTGAATTATGTGACAAATTTTAGTGAGCCTTTTGTTGGGGTGGGTGGAGGGGGGGGCAGGGGGGACATCCAATTATTACCTTTGATACATCCCTCCGCTTGCGACTCCTTCCTTGTGCAATCCGTGTATTCTTGAACTGGCTTTAGTTTATTTTTCAATCATTTGTATTTTTTTCTTCTGTTTTCATTCATTCATTTATCCATGTGGATATGAAATAACTCTGTATCATGTTTACAATGACGTTTGTAAAGTTACAGACGTTGTAGGATTTCTAAGATGAGTTGAATAATCATGATTATTTTTTTGTTTACCATGTGCTCCGGTATATACTACTGCCAAGCAGACAAAACCATGAATCTTAAGGCATGAAATGAATTGCCTGTGTCTTATATGTCATCTTCTACCAAGTGTGTGTTCAGAGAATGAGAAAAGGATGTGACGGGAATGATGTGTTCATAGGCAAGTTAATGTGTTTGAAACAGACATATATGCCCTAGAATCAAATTTATTTTGCATTACTGAAATTAAAAGCTTTTTTTTCCTCTTCTTTTGGTTTAAATCTATGATAGAAGGTATATTTTCATGATGAGCATAAAGCAAACCAATATGACTCCCCTCCTCTCAATTCAGTACCCCCTTTTCTTCTTTTTTGATTTTCATCATTAAACTATCGGCATTCACAATTCGGATGTCACTTGTCTAGAAATTGCAAGAATACAATTTTGTTTCCATTTTTCTATGAGATGATAAGCTTGATGTAAATCTAGCGACCAAAGAATAACTTTAAAAAGAGGTATAATGATAACCCACCAATTTGTTCATTTTTTATAATGAATCTGCTTTATTATGTCAATAACTGTACATGGCTATACACAGTGAAATTTTGTGTAAGCGCCTTTCCCTTGGTTTTCAGAGCAAAGTCTTCGGATGTTTTATGTGTGAAACGGCTGCAGTTTACGTACGCATGTGGTAAGGTTTCAAACGCGTGATTGATCAAAAAATGCTACAAAAAGAAAAATGTCAGCGGCTCAAAGTTGCTGGAAGATATGTAAATGTTTCTGTTGACTGACACGCATGGTAATCTTATTCTCGGCTTTGTTACAATGGAAAAGAAATGGAAAGATTTTTTTATATTTTGGTCTAAGCCTATCTGTAATGTACAACCTGTTCTGTACTAGCATCAGCAATTGAAGCAAGAGAGAGAGAGAGAAAGTAATGTGAACGCCTCCGTTCTAATGTCATAAACTTTTTTCGTTGTGGAAAGAAGAAATATATGAAGTTATTAATTATCAACGATTAATGTGGTATGTAATTTTTTCTTCAATTTTTTTATTTGTGTATTTATTCATTTTTGCATGCCATGAAAATTGTTCTGTGATGCTGAAAAAATGTTACGGTGATATGACGAAGAAAACCGAAAAAATCTCTAAAAGTCTTGTTTGAGTGTATTACAAGGCTGAATGGCATATAATTATATTGTTGTTTGAGCCGTTGTCTTTAAGGATGAAAAAACAGAGTTTACAGTTAAAAACTGAGCAGCAATTGATGATAAATAAAAAAGAGTAAATATGAAGATGCTTCACGTACATACCTGTGTGCCTCTTGAGATTTTCTTCTTGTAAAGTTTAGATATATTGAGTGCAAGAAGGATGTATGATGGGAAGAATGAGTGTATTGGTTTTGCCGAAGAGCGGAGTGGGTTGAATACGTATGTTTCGAGGGGAATGAGCACTGACTTTCTACTTGTAAAGTGGGGATACATTCAGTGCAAGAAGAATATATGAAGTGTAGTTGAAGTTTATTATCCAAACAAAAAGTACATCAATATAGCAATCAAATGTGAATGTTGTTAAACTTTGAAAGGATAAATGGGACCAGAAAAAAGCATTACATGCTAATCGTGTCTGGTACCACTAACACACAAAAGTATCACACAAATAAATGAGAATATAATGAATAAATATGAATATGAATAACTTTTGAATAGGTTCTTAAGCTACAAGATATTCTACATCTAGGCTAAAATATGTTCTGTGTTTTAACACAAAGCTTTGGTATTTTTCACTGAATAAAAAGATAAAGAATTATATAACATAATATTTACAAAAAGGCAAGAACCTCGGTTCAAAGTTCAAAATAATTATTCTATTAACATTTGTGATATTAGAGTTCTATGAAAGCAAGACACTGATGCTTTCTCCCGTACAGATATGATATGTTATGATTGGAAGAATGAATGAATGCATGACTTATGTCGAGGAGTTTGAGTGGATGTTTATTGGCAAGTCTTGGTGTATATAAACAAATGACAGTAAAAATGAACAGACATAAAAACAAGAAAATCATTGGTTTAGAAAGTAGTTTACTGCTACGATGATATTGATATCGACAGTGATTGCATTTTGTCGTCAGAGTGTAAGACCAGCTAACAATTTAATGTATGTATATCTCGCACAATTTTAAACGAAAGAAGCCTATTTTAAAAAGAAGCAGTTGTTTGTAGTTTGTCCGGCATGCGAAGTAGGTGTTACATTCAGCTGGTACATGCATGCTAGGTACATACATGCTACGTACATGTTTGCAACAAGTTAGACTAAACATACTGTGGTTTGTCTTTCTGGGAAGAAGAAAAAAATTCTAATCTTTGAAGCTATATTTAGAACGCTTACCCAGAAGAAAGATTTGTAATGATACGCCAAGGACATAGTTTTTTGTGATGAGACTTTGAGAAGAAAGAGAATTAATTAAAGGGCAATCCAACCTTTGTAGTAAGTTGGTTTGTATGAAAGCAGAAAAATAACAGGCAGATGGGCAAAAGTTTGAAATGAATCAGACCAATAGTAAGGAAGTTATGAATGTTTTAAATATGAGATCACTAAGTCTATGCAAATCTCAAATTGGTAGTTTGGTCAGTAGATTGTGACGTAGACGTGGATAACTCTCCCATTTGCCATGTACAAAATATCATTATCTGTTTTCTCGAAAGTTCCTTCTCCCTTGGGGCACTACTCAAAATATATCTCCTAAGCCATGAATTTTTGAAAAATTTAAGTTTTAGTCATATTATATATTGGAACAGATACGAAAGTAGTCCGGCACTACATCACATTGACATCACATTGACATTACCGCTTCAGCCAGTTTAAAATACCCATACGTATAGTGATTACAACTTTCAACATTTCATAACTTTTTTAAATTTATTCAGATTTAATTGAAACTTTCATCAGTTTGCTTCTCTGATTTTTCTGCTTTCTTTTATGTTATAGTTGTCTATTTGGGTTGGATTTTCCTTTAAAACGATGGAAATACAAACAGAGGGAACATGAAACAGAGAATGATAATTGAACATGTAGACGTGGGGGGGGGGGGGGGTTGAGATGATTGTTATGAAATAGGGCCGGGGGGGCATTGAATTGAGATGTTATGGAAGAAAGATGGGTTTGGCAGATACAAATTGGAATAACGAGAAAGATTTTAAATGCTGGGAATCAAGGGTGGGGGTGGTGTGGTTAGCAAAAACATGTTGAGCAAGACATCTTTTAAAAAGGCTGCGCGAGAATGGGGAAGCTAAGCGGAGAGGGGGGGGGGGGAGCACAAATGGATCATTTTGTTTAATGATGAACTGAATCTGATTGTTCAACGAATCATCCTTTACATTTCCGCAATTTCGCAAGGGAAATCGGCGTCTGTTGTGTCTTCGAAATCTCGATATCGGCTGAATGAAACATCACCCGATTAAAACGAAGAGGCTGAGTGTAATTCAATGCAGAATATTCACATCATAACTTAGGGTATAGGGAAGGTCGAAACGCATTAGGGTAGGCACCCTATCGTAAGCCCACACAGGCCTGTCAATAGTAATCTACGGGAAAAGGGACAGTCCCTTGAATGAAATATGACGTCATCTATGACCTAAAGAATGTCAACTTCAGTATCATGATCGAGGGGGCTATGGCAGGGGTAGGGGGCTAGGTCAGGTCCCACAGGGCAGGTCTCCCGGGGAGGGACCTTGTATGATTAAGGTACTCTATTAATAGATTGATCAAAAACACGAGTTGTCAGTAAGCTTACGAGGATCTTTGTAGCAAAAAGTGTTTATTAAAAAATAGAGAGTTTATACTTGTAACTTGTACAAGTATAGGTGGTACGCACTCATTCGTAGATTATAATGAATCACTGTCATGTTATGCCATTGTTTTTGTTGTAGTATAATGTAGCACATCGATATTGTTTCCAGGTCATAGGTTAAAGGTACTATGTCCCATTTACAGGCCCCAAAAATGAAAAGATTAAATTCCAACGGCATTTGAAAGATAATACTAATTTAGAACTTCCCTATAAAAAAAAGGGGGGGGGGCTTGAAATGTCTTTAAGTGGGAAAATGACGACTATTAGTTGTCGAATCGACTTAAGAGCTATAGAGCCAGTAAGTAATAGTCTGATTTTCAGACTATTGTACCGAATGGTCGTCCGTTTTATGCTGCACAAAGATTCAATCAATTTAATTTTGACAAATACAAGAAGTGGGTTTATTGATGTAAACAAATGCTCATGTACCCTTTACAGCTCAGTTTATGTATGTTATTACCAAAGAAAAAGAAAAAAGCCAGTCAGTCATTCAATAGTGTCTGACAGTGAAGTCTAGCAAGTAACGGGTTTCCATGCATAATTTGAATATTACGACACTGCTAACGTTTAAATTTCACAGATAGGACATACATGACATATTCCTAATTCCTGCAAAGTTCTACAGAATTTGATGTTGGCTGCAAAAGGGACATAGTATCTTTAAAGGGGCCAAAAAAAGAAAAATGTGACTTACTTTACTTACTTTAAATTACTCCAGCAATGCTATAGGACTATGCCTGTTCATCGATCGTAGATGTCTTCGACAGCGGTTATACTTGACTTGTACCTTTAATTCTAAAATTCGACTATGATCCCATTGTCTAAAAGAAAAGTAAATAGACATTTTCTCGTAGCGCAAACTCTCACCTATTACATATCAATATTTGGAAGAAAATCGAGTCGAAAAAAGTAAGACACTGTCAAAAGTACATTAAGTATATGACGTCAATGTTTAAAAACTATAAAATCTTATTTTAAATTGCAGCATGATGACGTCATAGCATATGTTGGGCAAACATGAAGCATGAATATCACATCTATATATGTTTAAGCCCTTTCAGAAAACACAATAAAAAATTGGGTCACCTGCCATTCCGTGGAGCTTTAAAAGATTTAAGTTTTGCCATATTACCATTTGGGGGGGCCAATTTTTTTTGCCAAATAGGATCAATCGGGGAGAGGTATCGATGAATGATATTAATCAGCAAAATCACCCTTTTAAATACATACATGTAGGCCTACATGCACTTACTTCATTAACAAAAAAGATACTGTCTTCATGAGCATCCTCTTCCGCGATGGCGTATCCAGGAAAAGGTAAGCTGATGTACGCCCTCCCCCCCCCCCCGCCCCCTCCCCGATTTTAAGGCCCAGGAAAAATCAGTATAACTTGCATTGGGTCATATGGACCAAGAACTAGATTGTTTATTCCTCAGCACTACAGATTTGTAAAAACTTAGAATAATTTTTGTTTTAATCGACAAATGCCAAAGGATATCTATCCTTATCTTTTTTTGTAGTTAACAATTCTTCGCGATACGATTGATCAGCACTATAATATAGCGAAAACAGGTCCACAAAAAGCAGTTCCTTTTGATTGAATTGATTGATTGGTTGATTTTATTCAGATCCCATGCACAAATTATAAAGCATAACACATTTTACAAAACATTGACATTTCTTAAAATAATACATGTACGGAAATAAATAATCCTGAATCATATAGTAATTAATAACATGAAAGAATGTTCAGGAAATCATGAAACACGGAAATGAAAAGTGAACCTACTTAAAAGCTAGGCTTGTTGCATGTATTGTAGGTTCACTGTATTTTACACGTACAGACAAAAATAACAGAATACACAATCCACTAGACTTAGCCAACATATAAATGAAACGAAATACAACATGTTACGGCTAAAAGTGGTAGAGAAATAGAGGGGGAAAGTGATGTACTATGAACGAAATACTCATGGAAATATCATGCATTTTCAAGACATTTGGGGGAAAACAAAATGTGTCATTGACGTCACTTTGTGTCGCCTCGTGAACGCTTGAAGACATTTTATTTCTTTTATGTGCCAAGCAATCGTCATGAAAACAAAAACTCGACAAAATTCTGTAACGAGCAGAGCCTTGGAGTGTGAAGAGAAAGGAATTATTCTTCAAACCTCGCGCTTATTCCTTCTTTCTTGTAGAAGGACGTTTCAACCACTGTCTTGTCTTGTCTGCCTTTGCGAAAAAAATAATAGTGGCTTGATCTCTTTTGCCTCGCCTTTTCGATAATGCTGTCTGACCGTTATATCAGTAGACTTTTAGAAAACGAAAGTGAGATGTAAACCGTGATGATAGTAGGCGCGGGGATCAGAAAACAGATGAAAAAATCGAGAATAATAATTATGCCCGAATCGATTATTTCCGCGCTAATATTTATATATTTATTTTCACGTCTGTC